AACCCACCACTGGTGTGCGTGTGTGTATGTATGTATGTATGTATGTATGTATGTATGTATGTATGTATGTATGTATATGTGTGTGTTTGATATACATTTATATATATTACATATAATAAAGAGAAAGTCAAGGTTTTGTTTACTGTAGTTAATAAAATATCATGAATAATTATGTTCAATATTTTATGCATCAAAAACTACCTGCAGGGTTGATGCAAGTTTAAACAGGTAAAAATTCACACAAACACCTTTCTGAAACAGGTTAAGAAATAACTTTGATTTTAAAAGAAGAGCAAGGAAATGGGGATTTTGGGAGTTTGCTGTCCATTTTAATTGTTTTGAGGCTTATGTTGTGAGAATGACTTGTGAAACAGCAAGCGAGCGATCGAGGATCAGGCAGCCTTTGAATTGTTGTTCTCTCTCTAAATATTCAATTTAACTGTACCTTTCACTGCCACTTTTAACTTAGAACAATCACTTCCAGCTGCATTTGAGACTTTGCACACATATTCCGCAGAATCAGTTTTAGTAACTGCTTGAATTTCTAAGAGAGCTGTTCTATTTGCCAAACTGAAGCTGCATTTATCAGAGGATCTAAGCCAGTGTTTCTCAACCTTGGCAACTTGAAGATGTCTGGACTTCAACTCCCAGAATTCCCCAGCCAGCGAATGCCAAGTTGCCAAGGTTGAGAAACACTGATCTAAGCTCTCTCCCAGCTTTGAACAACTGGATCTTAATGGGCTACATAGCAAGCAAGTTGCAGGATCTTGCAATTATCTATTGTCACTGGTTTAAGAGGTCAATCAAATACTGGAGGCTTTTTAGGTTCTGAAATGTGATAACATTAAGAAGGCAAGAGGAGGAAACTAGTTAGATTATCATTCATCTTAAATTTTTTAAAAAGTACATATCAAGATAAGAACAACATGATGCAATGAATTAATTCCATTTTCTCAGTACAATGTTTTTATAGGAAAAATAATTTTCTGTTTGGTATCATATGGAATTCTGATATTTGAGCATGTTTTAAGATGATATACAAAATGTTTGAGATGCAATATCCACTACCTATCTTTTATGCTAAATGTAACATGAATATTGTCAAGATGAAGGTCATTTTAAATGTGGAAAAAA